AAACCTGAACAAAACAAGACTGATACTTTTTAGGAACTGCAGAACTAATACACAGATAAAGATTCATTTGGATGGGTTTAATATTGAAACAGTTAATGAAATCAAATTCCTTGGGGTGACAACAGACGACCAAATCTGCTGGAAATCACATATGAAGTATGTACAAGCCAAAGTATCAAAAAGTACTGCAGTATTAAATAAAGCAAAGCAGGTCCTGGATCACAAGTCACTCCACATTCTGTACTGTTCACTAGTTCTTCCATCTCTAAATGACTGTGAAGAGGTTTGGGGCAACAACTACATCAGTACAATTCATCCATGACTTATTTTGCAAAAGAAAGCACTTCAGATCATTCATGGGGCAGGATATAGGGATCATGCAGACTCTTTATTCTTACAATCCAAACTCTGACCATCTAAAGATCTTGTGGAATTACAGACAACACAAATAAGCTTTGAAGATTTTTAGTCAGATTATAGTCCATTATAGTCAGTTTTTATCCTTATTTTTTGTATTCTCTGCTTCATTAAAAAATACTTATATTTCTTATATGTTAAAATTATATTTAAACAGTACTTCACCTACAAAATGATCATTTGTATACAATTATTTACCATGTTACATTGATTTTGTGAAGAAAACTTTTTTTGTATGTCATGTTTCATATAAATACACCCTGGTTTAGGACTTGTTGCCTGTCTTTAGTACTCAATGCTTCATTCCTCATTAAATGAACCTCTGCCCTCTGATTTTGGATGAGGATGTTCACATGACTGATGAATCCACTGAATGAACCATCTGTATTAACTTTTGTGTGCAGGTTGTGCACTGTGCCCTGTTGATACCTACTGACATTTTATTATGAACATGTTTCAGGGACCTTTGATGCATGTCATGTCATGTCCATCTCTCTCTGTCCTCGCGCCCTGTTTGCCTCTGTTGTCTCCTTTAAAAAATACACTCAAACATCATAAACTAAATCCTTAACTGACTGTAGCTGTCTTGGGCTCCTGGCATGTCATCAACGATCATATTTTCACAACACACCAACGTCTTTTGCATATCTTAGCTGTCATCATTTCCTGGAAATCTGTAAAAATCACTGAAAAGACCTCTTAGTGGGGAGGTACAGACTGCCTCCTTCTTTTTTAATTCTTTACCTCATATAAGTTATTCCACATACTGCATCTTTTATGAATGCGTTTATAATCAGCTATTTTTGCAAATGCTTTCACTGCTTACATGTCAAAATATATTTGAAGAAATACTTCACCCACAAAATTACCATTTGTATCAATTACATTTTGTGCATGCATTGACTTTGTGAAGAAAACTTGTTTTGTTTTTAATTCTCTGTTCAGTGTGGATGCATTTTACAAAAACAGTAAATATTCTCAATTGAACTGAAGTCATGGGGGTCTGTATTTAACAGCTCCAAACTATATCAAAACATCTGTTTACAAACTCTCTCACAACTCCTACAGTATAATCCAATTTATCCAACATGTTCTTTTGTAAAATAAGATCAGCGATTGAGTGTTGATGTTGTCAGTGATGGGGAGCTTTATTCGTTCTCAGGTTTGTTGCAGCGTGTGTTGTTACTGTGGGTTAAACTTTAACATGTATCATATAAAGACGCAGCAGCTGAACTTTGAACTGAGCGCTGCAGGTTGGTTCATTACAGTGTTTGAGTGTGACATCAGCCTGCAGACACAGAGGACTGAATCCTGACGGAGGACAACAGAAAACTCTTTGTGTCCACAGACCTGGTCCAGACAGCAGAGAGCTGCAGAGTGATGAAGTCCATGAGAAGAAACTGAGTAAGTGGACCTTTGATTGTTTCCAGCCTCTAATGTCTCTGTTGGTTCATGTGTTCACCTCCTGTCTTTGACCCAGACTCCACAGCACAAAGTTTATCTGACAACAAACACTTTAAAGTCTAATGATGAACCTGTCTGTCTGTCTGTCTGTCTGTCTGTCTTCATCAGGAGGCTGCAGGTTATCACCAACATGAAAAGGTATCACACTCAACACTTGACATCACATTTGATCCTGTTTCACCTTCAACATGTTCATCAACTCTCTGTTTCCTGTTTCTCTGCTCTCTCACCTCAACACTGACTCATAATAAACCTGTAAATGTACTCAAAGAGCCACAATGTGTCAATATAACCAGTTAATGGTCGGGACCTCGGAACCTCCGACCTTATGAACGCCGCTTAATCTAAAGCAGATGAACAAAACACATGCAGGTTAGTCTGTCACACCTCGTGTTAAGGGCTGTACCCTTCAGACAAACTATAGAAAA